CTATAATTACCCGAAACCCGAACTCCCTTCCCCCCCCATCCTTAAAAGGGAAACATGGAGGAACACCTCCCCCAATTTCATTTGCGGGGTGTGGGAAACAATTCCAGCCTCTCGCGGGATCCGAAGCATTCTTTTTTCTAGCTGCGAGTCTGTGGGTTCAGGGGTTAAAGGGTTTAGAGTTTAGGGCTAGGGGTTCAGGGGTTTAGGGGTTCAGTTTAGGGGTGCACGGGTCTGGGCAGGGAGTGTGTGGGTTTAGGGGGTTTGAGGGGGTTTAGGGTTCAGGGTTTAGGGTTTACGGTTTAGGGTTTAGGGTTTAGGGCTCGCGCCAGTTGGGGAGTTCAGGGACTGAACGGGTCTGAGGCTTAGGGTCTGGGGGGCTCGCATACTCAGGGCCTGACCCTAAGCCCTAAACCCTAAGCCCTAAACCTTAAACCCCTAACCCCTAACCCCTAACCCCTAACCCCTAACCCCTAACCCCTAACCCCTAAACCCTAAACCCTAAACCCTAAACCCTAAACCCTAAACCCTAAACCCTAAACCCTAAACCCTAAACCCTAAACCCTAAACCCTAAACCCTAAACCCTAAACCCTAAACCCTAAACCCTAAACCCTAAACCCTAAACCCTAAACCCCTAAACCCGCCTAAACCCTAAACCCTAGACCGGGTTTGGGTTTGGTGTTTAGAGTTTGGTTGATCCCAAATCCTGAACTCCTTTACGCCTTGAGCCTGAGGCCCTAACCCCGAAGCCTCAAGCCCTGAAACCAAAGTTTAGGGTTTAGGGTTTAGGGTTGAGGGTTTAGGGTTTAGGGTTTAGGAAACCCTAACCCGAAAAAGCCGGTAATTCGAGCCATAGAGCCAGCACGGTCTTGTTCAACCCATGACGAGGGCCGATCTGCGCTGGCCCTACTCTTGAAACCCACTCGTCTCAACCCTGAGCCCGAATCCATAGGGTTTGGGGTTGAGGGTTTATAGGGGCTTGGGGTTATGAGGGTTCAGGGTTTACGGCGATTTAGGGTTCACAGACCCTTCCATTCCAACATGTGTGTGTGCCTGCAGCTACAAGAAGCCTCGGAAGTGCGTTGGCGTTCGGCGACACGTCGAAAGGGCCACCTTGACGTTCCACTTTTCAATGGGTCGACCGGACATCGCGGGGAAGTGGGTGCGTATGGTTGATGACAAGCACGCGTGGTCGTGGCAAGATTCCCCCTCGACCCTGTGGGGAGCCTTTGAGGCCCCCAAGCCGGCCCGAAACCCTAAACCCTAAACCCTAAACCCTAAACCCTAAACCCTAAACCCTAAACCCTAAACCCTAAACCCTAAACCCTAAACCCTAGACCCTTCTTTTCCTTAAAGCCACGCCGACGAAAAGCTTCTCATGAATCAGTATGCTTCCTGCCCCCTGGGCTGCCACAAGAGAGAAAAGCCGTCCGAGCTTTCGGGGTTTTGGGGGCTTCATGTTGCTAAACCTCTAAACCTGTATATGAACCCTAAACTACGTATATGAACCCTAAACTAAGTCAGGGGTGGCACCTGTCAGCGCAGAGCCCGAGCATCCCCATACGCAAAAAGAGCGGGGCGCGGAAAGGCGAGGGTAAAGCCTCACCGGCTTGTCCTGAACACTCCAGGGACGGCCGTAGACCACCTTTACGTACATCAAGTGAACCCAAAGCTTGGGCCGACTTGCAGGGGATGGCGTTTAGGGTTTAAGGTTTAGGGAGGGCCCCGAGCCTCCCTGAACGCGACTTCCCTTTGGGGTTTAGGGTTTAGGGTTTAGGATTTAGGGTTTAGGGTTTAGGGTTTAGGGTTTAGGGTTGGAGGCTTTTGGAGGCTGGAAGGGGCCTTTGGAAGATTCTAAAGCCACCTTAGGGTCGTACTTCTTCGGGGACACTTTTACTTTGAACCCCATGGCCTAAACCCGTAACTCACTAGCACGCGCGAGCAGTAACAGCCTAACAGCCTTAGTAGCCCTAAACCCTAAACCCTAAACCCTAAACCCTAAACCCTAAACCCTAAACCCTAAACCCTAAACCCTAAACCCTAAACCCTAAACCCTAAACCCTAAACCCTAAACCCTGCGCAACGTGCCCTTTCACTCCGTTTCTGCCAGCCGAAGGTCCATTTTTTGTTTACGGCGTTGGGGTTTAGGATCTAGGGTTTAGGGTTCAGGGTTTGGGGTTTAGGGCTGTTGAGGGTTGAGGACTATGCTGCTAAGCATTGCAGCTGAACTTGTCGCAGAACTGGTCAATCACCCAAACTTGGGGTTGTAGGGCTTTGGGGGTTGGAGTTTAGGGGGTTAGCTTTAGGCGGTAGCAGGACGTCAGCGCGCATCGTCCGCCATTGTCGAACTTCCTCTGGATCAAGCCACGTTTGACCCCAAACCCAAACCCCAAACCCCAACCCCCAAAACTCTAAGCCCTAAGCCCTAAGCCCGAGACCCTGGACTGCAGCAGGTGATCAGTGTGCTGAAGGGTGTGGGGCGCGATTCTGGTGGGGTTTTCGTCGGAGACTCTAAGCCCTAAACCCTGACCCTGAACCCTGACCCTGAACCCTGAACCCTGAACCCTAAACCCCTAAACCCTAAACCCTAAACCCCTAAACCCTAAACCCCTAAACCCTAAACCCTAAACCCTAAACCCTAAACCCTAAACCCTAAACCCTAAACCCTTGGAGCCATGCGGCCCTGAAGGGGACGGGGCATGGCCCAGCCCAGGCCTGGGCTCTTCAGCTCCGGGGCTCCGGTTTTTTGGACTTCGGGTTCTAGGGTTCTAGGGTTTTAGGGTTTTAGGGTTTTAGGGTTTAGAGTTTAGGGTTTAGGGTTTAGGGTTTAGGGCTAGGGTTCTAGGGTTTAGGGTTTAGGGTTCCAGGGTTCTGGGAATTCTAGGGTTCTAGGGTTCTAGGGTTCTAGGGTTCTAGGAATTCTAGGGTTCTAGGCTTCTAGGGTTCTAGGGTTCCAGGGTTCAAGGGTTCTAGGGTTGTAGCGTTCTAGGGTTCTAGGGTTGTAGCGTTCTTGGGTTCTAGGGAAGTTTAGGGTTTGGGGTTTCGCATGATCTGAATTTTGGGCTTCGGGGTTGTGAGTGGGGTGGCTTGCCGGTGCGAAGAGCACTTAGGCCGCTCTCGTGCGTCGCCATTTTCGACCCACACATGGCATGGTGCTTGTTCTCTTCCAGAAGCCCTTAGGGTTTCCTAGACCCTAAACCCTAAACCCTAAACCCTAAACCCTAAACCCTAAACCCTAAACCCTAAACCCTAAACCCTAAACCCTAAACCCTAAACCCTA